GACGGCACTTGGGCGTCCATTGCGAGACGGGGGAGTATGAGGCGAGGAGTTGGAGCTGGACTTTCCGTTGTGACGAGGAGTGCTGGGCATGGAAGTGGTTGGGGTAGGAAAGGGTAGAGCTGGACAGGGGAATGCAGGTGCAGTAACCAAGGAGGATCTGGAGGAGGACGAGGACGAGGATGAGGATGATGACGATGGTCGGATGGTCATATACAGGAGCAGTTAGACAGCAATATGAGAGCAAGAGCAAGATCAGAGCAGGAAAGCGAGATGAAAGAAGTCAAGGAGCTTTAGGAAGGGCTGGATGTGAAGCGTGCGATGGCAGATGGGTGTGAAGTGTAGATCTTGCTACTGCCGACCACCAAGGGTGTCAGAGTCAGGTCCAAGAGTCTGTAAGAAAGCGCACAGGGCAAGTCTGGTGCCAGCAGCCGGTTGTGTGCTATCTAGATGTGAAGATAGGCCAGACGATGGCAGGTCAGTAACTGGCAACAAGCAGTCAGAAGCAGCAGCAGCCACATACGAGCTTGCAAGAGCCACTTGAGTCAAATACGAGTGTGCTCAAGGTCCACAGTGTCCCAGGTCCACCCAAACGAGGAGGGAGGTGAACGGGGAAAGGGAGAAAGCGGACAGTGTTTGGTCTTGTTTTGCACTGACCTTGAACACCCGGCCGCGCCCGGAACCTTAAGAAATGTGAAACTGTAACATTTTGACCATAGGCTCGCAAAACACACAGCAGCAGCCTTTGGACCTAGACTTCGATTTGTGGAATTGACCGTGATGGTTTATCAGGGCACAAAGAGCAGATCGACCACATGGAAACATGTCATCATGCATATGGGTGAAAGCTTTCAGTACAGTCATTTATGCAGCATGATTCAGGGCAGGAACTGGCAACTGGGTTGCCGTACAACTGTCAAACTTGCCGGTGGTTGCACTAGCGTCCGTGTGGGAATGGGCATCTGCATGGTACCTGGAGCTGACAAGGTGACCTCCAGAGATTTGCAAGGGTGTGTGGGTTCGTCAGCTTGTACACTAGGCATTTTGCAATGCCGCAAAATTGCTCCGGTCGTGCAATCCGATGATATAGGTCAGTCACCCTGTACTTGCTCAATATCGTACTCAGAGCCCGCACATGCATAATGTTGCATAACAAAAATTACTGTATCATTTCGACCGTAGGCGTAGGTTAACACATGACACTGGCTTCAAGAACTAAAGTTTGAGCCACAGAATTGGCTGTCATCGTTTTTCGGACATTACAAAGATGATGTGACATTCCATGAAAGCACGGCCTACATGACTGCTACAGTGAAGGATGCTTTGTGTTGTGTCGGTGCGAGATGTTGGACTTGCAAAGCTTGTGGCGGAACACTCGGTCGAATGGCTACCAGAATCTATTTACAGACAAAGGCGTGCTCAGTGCAAAGCAGCATTTAGTGAGTGTAAACTGGCTAAATAGGTGTGGGTATCGTATCACAAGTCGTCACTTCCATGTGCTAAAAATGAATCTAATATGCTCATACACTCCTATGTTCATGAATCAACATTGTCGGGAAGTGCAAGTATACCCAACTCAAGTTCTCTCTCAACTCGCTCTCGAGGATGCCACCTCCATATGCGATATCGATGGTTCACGTTCGGGAGGGCAACGATGTTCACCTCGCCACCACCGGCACCGCCCGTGCGCCGCATTGGAATGAGGATATAGACTTCCTTCACACGCGAGTGGACGAGCGCCATAGAGCACATGATGCATGGCTCGTGCGTGAGGAACAGGCTGCGGCCCGTAAGGAAGTACTCGGCGCTTGCACTGGCGAGGCATGAGCCTGCGCGACGGAAAACACGACAAGCGGCACATACGTAGATTGCGACTGAAGCGAGCCAACTAGGCGTACGAGGTTGATGACTGCGTGCCGGAGAGGATGCGACTCAGAAGTGCGCGTGTCGTGCGTCAGAGCCTTCACCGCGTCTGCGTTCGTGTCGCCGGGCATTTGAGGAAGGAAGGCGGCGATAGGCAACTACAGCCTCAAATGTCAGATTGGGAAGAGGCATCAAGGGAGGGACGTACCTCTCCAGACACGCGGGCGCGACGTGCACCGTCCACGAGCTCGCGCACGCATTCAAGCACCCACGTCCGACGTGCTTCATCCCACTCCAGCGCACGAACCTCGTCCGGATCTGGACGGAGGGGAGCGTAAACCGTCGGCCATACTGCGTTCTTGAGCGCGAGATGCGGCATATTAAGTGCCGCTCGCGCGGGGACGGCAAGTGTGTACGGTGCGAGTTCCGAATAGTTTGGGGGAAGGGGCGGAATGGGCGTATTGGATGCACAGAGTAGGATCGTTATCTCTATCGCAAACGCAATGGTTAAGATATGCGTGATGCAATGCGGAGCGAAAGACGACGGACGCGTTTCCGAGGACGTTTGGAGGCGTCGTATCCGCTTGAGGTGACGCAGTTCGCGGTCGAGGCCAGTTTTGCGCGTCCAGCTTATCTTGAATGGTTATGTCAAGGAGAAGAAACATGATTTCGAGGGACGTACTCAAGAAGGGGGTTAATATCCTTGATCTCTGGCGCGTCGATAACCCAAGCGTCCACTACACCGACGCGTTTGCGATCCTGCAATTCGCGATGTTGTTCAGCGATCACGCACTCGTCTCGACTGTATCTTCAGGCTCTTCGTCGACGGAAATGCGCAGGAGATCGAAAGGCGGATCGTCTTCCTCGGTCAAGGCAGCGGGTGGTGCGTCGTTTGGGTCGTCTGGCGTAAACCACAACGAGTGGGCGTAGAAAATACACAACTCCTCGCCGGGTTCGACGCGTCGCAACACGGTGTACTCAATTGTGGGCTCGTCTTCGTGTGGTTTAATAGAGAAGGAGGTATTGGGTCGCGAAGAATGGTTGAACAAGGAGCCTGCGATTCAGCAGTGGTCAGTCGGGCCGATGCTAGCGACGCAGCGACGCACCAAGACCAAGCGCAAGAGCCATACGACCGTCTGGCCAATTGAAAGTGTAATGGTCAAGGAGCGTGTGCTTGCCGTATGCAGCGTATTCCTCCTTCGAGAACAGCAGCACCGGCGAGCGTTCCACTACCGTGTTGGGCTCAATCGACGCGCTCGCTGCGTGCGATGAGCTTGAGAGTGCAAGATAGGGAGATTGCGCATACCATACACGCCTCGTCCGCGCGACAATGTGTACTTTATATGAAGCATGTCGTGGTCGAGAGCAGGTCGCGTGTCCGGCGATTCTCCGAGTCAAGGCTTGCCCTCTGACGACGACCATGCCGTCCTGCTTCGACTTCTACTGCCACCACGAGACCGTTGACGATGAGACCGCCCTCGGGCGCATACGAACCAGATGCCCCGCGCGCGCTCGCAGGGCTATCTTCCGTCTACAGCGTGGGCTTCAGTCAATATCTACACACGCTGATCGCATCCGACGCGTTGAATCCTTCTGGCGAAGTTGCGATTGAGCTTGGTCCTGCTAGAAAGCGACTTGTCCGCTTCCCGCGCCAGTGGCGCACGCAGCTCATCGTCGGCGAAACCCAAACGACGTCAACGTCGTGAAGGACTTTATTCGGTATATGCTCAAGGCGCATCGAGCTCGATACGGACGATATGCTCAACGCCGCGTCTCGTCTGCGTCCAAAGGCCGCCGCGTCGGCTCACCACGCAACTCATGCGCCCATTGCTCTCCACACCGTCACCGCCTGCGAAAGTGTCGAGGTCGTCACGAGTCTGCTGTGACCGTCGCCCCAGTGGCGGACAAGGTCGCACAACAGGTATCTCCTACCGAGGCTGAGGCAGAACCTCTCGAGCATCCTGGAGAAGAGCACAACGAATCTGTTAAACGGGAGGCCGTGCCTGACGTGGTACGCGACGGTGCGAAGACTGTTGGAGACGCCGGACATAGCATTGCGGAGCGCTTTCTAGGGGCAGAGAAGGAGACACTGCTCTTTTGTCTCAAGGTCACAAGAGACCGTCTCAAAAGTTCGTCAATGCGTGGACTACGACTGTTCCGTATCGACCATCGGAATCATTGTGCAGCGCTGCGCACAGATATACTCGCGTTTCACTTCAGCAGACTGTGGAGATTGTCTCGGGGGGACGTACTTGTCTCGGGGGACGTACAGCTCAACCCAGAGCTCGACCGCACTCGCGAGAATCTGTGGATGTTCGTGGGCTCGCTCGGCGATCGTTGTGCTTGGGACGGTCTGATCCGCGCCAAGGAGATTGGCTTCTGGCTACGTCTGCACAGCGAGCTGTTCCTCCGGCTCGCAGACGAGGGCATGGCGTCATTCGCGCTGGACGAGCGCGGGATCGACGTCACTCTCGATGTAAGGCGGCCGTAAACGCGTGGAGAATGTCCTCAGCCTACGCCCAGCGAAAGTCAAGATGCACCACTTCGACTATTCGCTGCGCAAGTCGAAGCTCGGGGATCGTGAAGCCCCTCATGCGTGCTGGAGCGGACGACCGCGAGCGCGGTCGAGGACGCGTTGCATGCGAGGAAGAGCGAGCTTGTCTATGCGCGAGAGCGGCTGCGGCGACACGCGTTGCGGATCCGGACATGGTCTGGATCTTCCTACGGTGGGCGCGTGGCTCGTCCCCGAGGCGGATCCGGACGTATAAGCCGGTCTAGGTGTGGTAGGCGCCGCGAACGGCGATGAGCCCTGTGTTACGTGGAGTGTACGCGTCGGGTAGCGTTGTGAAGACGTGGGAGGAGGACAATCATCGACGGCAACGTCCCCCTCCGTGTCCTCTTCGTAGCTTATGTCTTGACTCCTTGTCTTTTTCGTCGCCCAGCTTAACGGCGGATACGACTCATGGACTATGCGATGGTGTTACTAGACCGATACCTAGGCGAGTACGAGTAAGAACTTCCACTACTGGTGGCAGGAATATATCGACCATATGAAGCCGTTCTCATAGACGCTATGGCCGAGTGGTTAAGGCGATTGACTAGAACGGATTCCAATCCACTACATCAATTCCGTTCTCATAGACGCTATGGCCGAGTGGTTAAGGCGATTGACTAGAACGGATTCCAATCCACTACATCAATTCCGTTCTGCGGGCGTAGGTTCAAGTCCTACTGGCGTCGTTCCTTTTGTGCGTGTCCTACGCTCAATCTCTTTTTGCGCTCCTTGTCTCCGCGGGGAGAAGGGAGGGTCTGATTCGCATCACTATCGTCCTTCGGAGATATGGGCTGTGTCGCCTAGGACCTTGCTTCTCGCCCAGGGAGCACTGCCCTTATAAGGATCTTCACATTGCAGGCACTATCGCTCCCGCACGTCTTCCTCTCACCGTCACTATCACCCGCACGATGACCTCTACTGCGGTTCCTGGCACTTGGTATGCAAGCCGCGCTGCAGAGCCCCTCGACCCGGCTCTCCTATCTCTTGCCGAAGACGAAGCGGCGTTCTTCCAGCAGCAGACAGGCATAACCGATAGGGATGCCCTCCGCGATCATATCATCTCCGTACAGCACAAAGCTTTCTCAGTGTGGCCGTATCCCTGTATTCGCCATGTGCGTATCACCAGTGACTCTCTGTCAGACTCTGGCTCACTTGAGAATATACCCTTTAGTTTGGCTTCACTTCGTACGCGCGGCTTCATAGCAAGTCCATTGCAGCGGACTGAGACTCGTTCTTCAGGTTAAAGATATCCCGTTTTCCTGTCTACGGAGACGTACTCAAGTTGGGTCAAGAGCGTCAAAACGCGATCCTCCTCGACCTCGGATGTTGCTGTGCGTACACCAGCCTCGTCTCCTGTACTCTGCTCATCAACTGCAGTCGGAAATGACGCTCGCAAGGCCGTCGCAGACGGGTTCCCTGCTTCGCAGGTGATTGCCTCGGATTTTCAAGCTGATTTCTGGTCTCTGGGGTACACTCTATTCCGCGACTCTCCAGAGTCCTGCGGCATTCGATTCGTACAAGGCGATGTATTCTCGTCCAGCCTTATCGACCCGAGTGCTACCCCCACGGCGAGCGCGGACCCAATCGCGGCATGTGTACAGAGCGCGAGTCTCGTGCCTCTCCAGGGACACGTCTCCGCGCTCCATACAAGCGCCTTCTTCCATCTCTTCGACGAGGAGAAGCAGCTCGAGATCGCAAAACGCTGCGCCGCGCTCTTGAGCAAGGAACCTGGGAGTCTCATCTTCGGGAGTCATGGAGGAGCGCTGACCGCTCGACCATTCGCCGATCGTGACGCGTATGCGCACAGTCCCGAGAGCTGGAAGAAGATGTGGGAAGAGGAAGCCGTACCTGACGGAAGTTTTGTCGTCGAGGCGAAAGTGATCCCTTGGGCGCAGGTACTGCGGCAGGACTCTCCGGTGATCCAGAAGTTCCTGAGAGGCCCCGATGCTCCAAAGCCGGATGAAGGGTGGCTCGAGTGGGTAGTGCGCTGCGTATAATCTAATGCTGTCATGTCTCGCAGAACCTGTATAACAGCCAACATGTTACAATGTGAAATGACTAAAAGCTCTGGCGATCCGCTGCCAAATTAGTTGATAACCTGGATGTCGCGTACGTACGTCGTAGTGGCGCCACGCCGCAGGACTTGCCATAGGTACAGAAACCATAGGAAATTGCCCGGGCCCAGTTCCGCAAACAATGCAGTAGGTCGATGCTACCGACGGTGACGTTGGGACAGCGATTATTTGGAGGTTGCAATCGTAACGTATGAGAACAAGATGCAAAAAGTCGGACTTTGGACTCATGCTACCTCTTACCTCTGCCCACTGCACGTCGGATTGACGATGGATACCGTCACGCGCCGCGCGCGCAAGACACTTGATTGTTCGTGACTTTGATTGTGTAGGAGGACTAGAGACCTGCTCTTTGGTTATGCTCCCGTCCGACGAGCTTGCCATTCTTCAGCGATCGCTTTCGTACTTTCTCAAGACGCTCTTCGTCATCCGCCTTACAGTGGTATGACGACCCTTTCGCTTCTGGAATGAAGGCAACATGTCCTGAGATCGCGAACGAGTAAGGAGCGACTCGAGCTCGCCTGTGTAGACCCAAATTTCTCACATTCCGCCTTACTCACTCTATCATGTCCGAGAGTCTAGACGCCGTCACTTGCGACGCCTTCGAGCTCACTGGACACGGGAACGGACACGAGGAACCCAGCGGGATAATTGAGGCGGTGCGCGACTGTGGCAGCCATTTGCTTTGAACGAGCGCAGGGCTCGGGATTGTGAGGAGTATTACTGTATAAGGATAAGAGGAATGCATTAATCATTTACGCAGAGGTCTGACGTGTGTTTTTCACAGGGCATTCCTTCTGACAGAAACCGTCGACGGGTGATCGCAGGAACACCATTGGGTCGGACGCTTCTTCACCGGGATACGTTCTATTCTCGTGGTTGAGCCCTGCAGTACAAGAACCCGCTCGTGCAACCCTCAAAGTTGTGCTTCGCCTTCACAATGACCTCTACTGAACCTCCTGACGCCTGGTACAGTAGTCGCGCTGAAGAGCCGCTGGATCCGACCTTTCTTTCGCTCGAGGACGACGAAGCTGCATTCTTCCACCAGCAAACCGGCATCAAGGACAAGGATGCTCTCCAGGACCACATAATCGCCGTACAGCGCGAAGCATTCTCGGTATGGCCGTATCCCTGTATCCGGCATGTGCGTAACCTTTGTGTCAAGCTGTCATTCCGATGTCACTGAAGATACGGCCCGCTTTGCAGTTTGGCTTTACTTCGTGCGTTCCAACTGTTAGTCGTCGATCCTCAAAGCTAACCCCCGGTCCCAAGGTTAAAGATTTCACGTCTCCCCCCGTATAGCGAAGTTCTGCAGCTCGGAAGGGAGCGCAAGCACGCTGTCTTGCTCGACCTTGGATGCTGCTGTGCGTAAATCAGCTCAATGATTCGTCATGTCCTTACTCCTCGCAGTTGGAAACGATGCTCGCAAGGCGGTCGCAGACGGATTCCCTGCGGAACAGGTCATCGCCTCGGATTACCAGGCCGAGTTCTGGTCCCTCGGTTACACGCTCTTCCGCGACTCTTCCGAGTCATGCGGTATTCGTTTCGTACAAGGCGATATATTCTCATCAAGTCTTATCGACCCAGCCGCGACTCCGAGTCGTACGGTCAGCGCTGACCCGATCGCTACGTGCGTCGAGCGCGGGAGTCTGGTTCCTCTTCAAGGCCACGTCTCCGCCCTCCATGCGAGCGCATTCTTCCATCTCTTCGACGAAGCGAAACAGGTCGAAGTAGCGAAGCGCTGCGCTGCGCTCCTCAGCAAAGAACCTGGGAGTTTGATCTTCGGCACTCACGGAGGGGCGGCGTCGGCTCGGGCGTTCGAAGACCGCGATGCGTACGCTCATAGCCCCGAGAGCTGGGCGACGATGTGGATGAAGCAGGTTATCACTGACGGAAGCATCGCTGTTGAGGCGAGGCTGATCCCTCGGGAGCAGCTTCTACAGCATTCAGCGGAAATCGTGAAGGAACCCCAAGGCCCTGCCGCTCCCATACCTGATGAAGGCTGGCTCGAATGGGTTGTACGCCGCATCTAGTCTGGATCATGGTGTCTTGCGTCTCGCAGAGTGTGTATGAATACCAGCTGAGATACCGCCGAAGTATGGTAATATAACTCCCATTGGCGGCAGGCCGCCGGCACGCGTACAATATGCACTCGTCTGACACGCTCGGCAATCGTTCTCTCCTCTCACCATGTCGAACCCGGCGATCCATGACCCATGGTACGCGCGCCAGGCTGAAACGCCTCTCGACCCCAGCATCCTCTCGCTTGCGGACGACGAGGCCAACTTCTTCAAGTCTCAAACGGGCATCTCCACCGACGAAGAGCTGAGAGAACACGTCGTTGCTGTGCAGCGCAAGGCATTTACAGTCTGGCCGTACCCTTGTATCCGTCGTGTACGCCTTGTTTGCAACTTTCCGAGCAAAATTTATCTAACGGGGTCCTCGATTATCAACAGTTCGCCTTCACGAAGTCCGTTATAGACTTCATATCTGGCGACACCTCGCTTTTGACTTACGAACACCTAGACTGAAGATATCGCGCTTTCCCGTATATAACGAGTTGCTCAAACTGGGTCGCGAGCGCCGAGGGGCTATACTTCTCGATCTGGGCTGCTGTTGTGCGTGATGTCCCCGAGCCCTGAACACTCTGATTTTCTCATCGTATCAGTCGGTAACGACGCCCGCAAGGCGGTTGCAGATGGATTTCCAGCATCACAGGTCATCGCATCCGACCTCCGGCCTGAGTTCTGGTCGTTAGGCCACGAGCTCTTCCGCGACACACCCGACTCATGCAGCATCCGCTTCGTACAAGGGGACGTATTCTCCGACACTTTCATCAACCCCCATACGGCGCCCTCGTCTATCTCAGCGGACCCAATCGCTGCGTGCGTCGACAGCGCGAGTCTCGTGCCTCTCCAAGGCCGAGCGGCAGCAATCCACACGAGCGCCTTCTTCCACCTCTTCAACGAGTCTCAGCAGCTCGAAGTGGCGAAACGCTGCGTTGCGCTACTCAGCGCCGAGCCAGGCAGTATCATTTTCGGCAGCCACAGCGGTGCCGCCGTCGCAGGCGCACGACCAGATCGGGACACCTTCGCACACAGTCCTGAGAGCTGGAAGAGGATGTGGTCCGAGGAGGTGTTCCCGCATGGAGGAGTCGCAGTCGAGGCGGAGCTCATGAGTCGGGAGATGATGCGTGTCGAGGGAGGAAGTAGTATCGAAACGGCTGTGAAGGACGGAAGAGCATACGAGGGCGGATGGCTCGTGTGGGTCGTCCGCCGCATCTAAGTACGTACAGTATATCCCTCGCGCATACAAGGTAAACCCCTCTACAGAGGCGGGACAGAACGCTTCCGCGTGCCGCGTCTGACACGAGCCCAGCTATCTGCATGCTCTATCGCGCATCGGCGTGAAGTAAGGGCTCCCCGATCAAGCAGTGTTTATCGTCAAAGAGACCCAAGCGATCCTCCGTCTCGCGCGATGCCCACAGTCTGGGCTCGTTCCGGTCCCGCGCAAAGGCTGAAAGCTTAGACATTCCGTTATGCCAGTCCGATGGGACGCAGACGCATAAATACTCCAGTTTGGGCAGCGCGAGGAGCTTTGGGAGCATCGGTATG